GATAATATAAGTATATCATTGTAATATTGCAGTTAAAGTACACATTAGTATAAAAGTGTACACATTTAAAATTTGTAATAATAATAATAATATAATAAAATGACAAATTAAAAATTTAATGCATATATGTTCAAATATATTATTGTTGGATTGCTATTCATAGAACTAATAATCATTATTATAGGAAAAATAAATAACATATATATAGTTCCATACATATTTAATGTTATAATAATAATAATAATAAGATAATAATAATAATAATAATAATAATAATAAGAAGAAGAAGAAGAAGAAGAAGAAGAAGAAGAAGCAGCCAAGTTTCAGAGAGGTGCTGTTGGGGCAGAAGCTTGACAGTGACAGTGGGAAGGAAACACTCTGTGAGGCGATTGTTGTTGTGATTTGGTGCTGTATAAATAAAGTTGAATTGAAAGGTTCCTCTCCAAAGGTGAGAGGGTGGTCTCAGAGTTCAGTCTGAAGCTCTTCTTCTTCTCTGCAGATGATTTCCACACCTGTGAAGGCTCCACCTCCACGACCTCCACTTCTTCCACCAGTCTTGGGCGCATGCGATGTGTTATCTGCCACCGCGGCTTCAACTCTCGCAGCAACCTTCGCTCCCACATGCGCATCCACACTCTGGACAAGCCGTTCGTCTGCCGCTTCTGCAACCGTCGCTTCAGCCAGTCATCCACGCTGAGGAACCATGTCCGGCTGCACACCGGAGAGCGCCCTTACAAGTGCCACGTCTGCCAGTCCGCGTACTCGCAGCTGGCTGGTTTGCGGGCGCACCAGAAGAGCGCCAGGCACCGCCCCACGGGGGACAGCGCCGCCCCAGGAGGAGGTGTACTGGTGGTTGGAGGCGGAGGCGTAGGTGGGGTGCACTCGACGCACTCGCCGCCTCCTCCTCACCCTCCCCAGCTGACCGCCGTGCCTCACCCAGCGTCGCTGGTTCACCACATACCCACCATGGTGCTGTGATGGGGCGACAGCGAGAGGAGACGAGCTGAAATAACTGACGCGCACATGGACACGTTTCAGGCTGGAAATAAGACAGGAACCTGCTCACGTCTCATCAACCAATCACAGAGAGATGTTTCCAACCAACCACTAGAGGGCGCCATCGTCTTCTGCAGAAACAGCAACAATAAGAAAAAGCAAAGCTTCGTCATTAAACTCACCTCTGGCAACAAACAAACGTCCTCCTCCAAACAGCTCCATCACCCAACCCAGGGCACTTCCTGTGAGGGGGGGGGGGCGCTGTTACGTGCATGGAAACGAGTTTTAGCCGACATATGACCCTCCGCCCCCCATACCCCACACACTGGTACAGTTTGTTCTGAATGCGCTGCTTCGTGAGGACAAGCTGAAACAAAAGATGCATGCTCCTGTTGCATGACCAGTCGTGTTCGGTCCTTCATGTATGTTTGAATCTGTGTCTGTGAGCTTACGTGTGCCGTGCTTTGGTCTGCATGCTCCAGCTTCTGTGTTAAAGGATGTCATGTATGTGTGAAAACAAGAAGAAGATGCTAAAGTCGCCAAGTCTTTCAACACTCAGACTTCTTCAGAGGACAACACTGAGTTTCTGGTAGACAGCCCACCTGGTCAGTTTGTCCAGGTGTGGTCATAGTGAAAAGAAAGTACAGGACATATCAGCTGCTTAACTGGTTTCAAAATGATTTAAATCTGATGAACAACAACACAGTCTGTGAAATCCTAAGTCCACCCTTTGTTTGGATGGAAGGGTTACTAGTGAAAGCCTCTTCTCAGTTTAGGTTGCCAAACCCCACCAACACCTCGTACCAACTGTCAGCACGGTGGCTCGCTGAATGAACCATGAACTCCTCTGTATGCCAAAGTATTCACATGTGAGGCCGTCTGTCTCACAGCTAAAGCTTGGACCAAACCGGACATTGATTACAAGCACAGCAGGAAACCTGCAGCAGAACGGCTGGAAAAAAAAAAGAATGAAGCTGCTGCAGCGGTCCAGTCAAAGTCCAGACCTCAGAGAGCTGTGCATGAATGAATGCTGGTTTTACTTACCGCTGAAGCGTGGGGTGGACTCAGTTTTTCACAGGACTGCATGCTGTGCCTGAATACTAATTCAGTAGTAATGTGTTAGTTTGTTGAGTTAATTATAAAATAACTATTTGTGACTACATTCATCTATTATCAGAGCAACTTTATTGACACTTTAGCCTTGTTATGCAGCATTAGCCACCACGCTAGCACTTTAGCTTACACGTTATGTATTTAATTTAAAAAAGCTAAAATGAAAATTTTAAATGTAGAGCATTATTTTACTTTCACTCTAAAAGTTTTAGTTTTAAACACTTTAAGCTTAAATGGTACCTGCTAGCCTAACAAAGCGTGGTAGTTACAGATAGTTTCATACAAATGTATTAGCCTGCTAAGGCAAATTAGCAGGCTAATGAATACATTCATGTATTTTATCTCATGCTCACCACTGAAGAAGGAAGTTGTGTTTTGATATTTGGTGCAGCGTTAGCTGCATGCTAACATGTTAGCTACAAACACATCACTGACCAACAAATCAGTCTGCTAAAAAGTCATTAAATCCCTCTGAAGAAGTTCACCACTTATTAGAGTAAGTAGAGTCTGAAATTTAGCATGTTTAACTGTTTTTTCATTATTAATGATGATAATGTTTTAGCTGTGATGCTAACTAATTAGCAGGCCTAAACGGGCTAACAGATATGTTTGATAGAAAAAAAGAGAACTGTAATTTTATCTCTTCCCCACTTTTTACCCTGAGGCCTGATTTGTGTATATGATGCTCAGAATGATGACAAGAGACACTAATAACTGACTGAGCCTGTTAACTGACAACTAGCTGTCAGGCCTTATTTCCTGCTGTGTAAATTAGCATCGTCAAAGATAAGAATGTGAATATAAACATGAGATATGCCCAGAACATAATTCTATTGTCACTTTATCTCTGTATATGTATATGTAGAAGGTCATATATGGCACATGTATTGGTAATGAAGTATGTTGACTTCTAAAAGGGACACTGTATTTGAGCCTATATACTCTTAATAAAGTGTTACTGTATCTCATCTTCACCCAGCAGTCGCCTCAGGACAACTGTAAGCTAAGGTAAAGGTAAAGACCCTGCAATGATACAGAGAAAACCCAAGAATCTGACAAGCTCCAGTGAGGAAGAACTTGGTGACACACACACACACACATACACACACACACACACA